CCAGAACGCACTTCTCAGCCTACTATGCAAGGCCCGATTTGCCTAATAAGCCAATATATATATATATATATATATATATATATATATATATATATATATATATATATATATATATATATATATATATATATATATATATATATATATATATATATATATGTCGTACCTAGTAGCCAGAACGCACTTCTCAGCCTACTATGCAAGGCCCGATTTGCCTAATAAGCCAAGTTTTCCTGAATTAATATATTTTTCTAATTTTTTTCTTATGAAACCTAAAGCTACCCATTTTTTTATGTATGAGGTCAATTTTTTTAACCTTGGAAGTTAAAATTAACGTAGATATATGACCGAACCTAACCAACCCTACCTAACCTAACCTAACCTATCTCCATAAAAAAGGTTAGGTCATAGGTAGCCGAAAAAGTTAGGTTAGGTTAGGTTAGGTAGGTTAGGTAGTCGAAAAAACATATAATTCATGAAAACTTGGCTTATTAGGCAAATCGGGCCTTGCATAGTAGGCTGAGAAGTGCGTTCTGGCTACTAGGTACGACATATATATATATATATATATATATATATATATATATATATATATATATATATATATATATATATATATATATATATATATGTCGTACCTAGTAGCCAGAACGCACTTCTCAGCCTACTATGCAAGGCCCGATTTGCCTAATAAGCCAAGTTTTCATGAATTAATATATTTTCTCTACCTAACCTACCTTACCTAACCTAAAGCTAACCATTTCATTATAACCTGAACCTAACCTATTTTAAGATAGAGTTAGGTTAACGTTAGATAGGGTTGGTTAGGTTCGGTCAATATCTACCTAACCTTTTAACTATCTTTAAAAAAAAAGTTACCTTATACATAATGAAGTTAGGTTAGGTTTAGGTTTCATAAGTTAAAAAAGTCGAAAAATATATTAATTCATGAAAACTTGGCTTATTAGGCAAATCGGGCCTTGCATAGTAGGCTGAGAAGTGCGTTCTGGCTACTAGGTACGACATATATATATATATATATATATATATATATATATATATATATATATATATATATATATATATATATATATATATATATATATATATAAAAAAGTTTGTGAGGGTACCACCTCTGGTGCCAATGTGGGGACCCATAGCCTCGGAGAAGAAAATAAAAAGTATTCAGAGGAGACCTTGTGGTTTCTCACTGAACACTAATATTATCTTCTCCTACCACCCCCATTCTTTTGTATGTACACATATATATTTACTTTATTTGAACTTTGTTACAAAAAAGGGAGTTACATATGGGTTACAAAGATGGTTATCATAGGTTGTCGAGTTCCTCCAGCTCCTCAGATGGCGGGCAGGAACCCTGGATGCAGTGCGCATTTCCCCTCTGTATCGCCACACTGAGGCGCTGGAAAAGAAAGCTTGCAGCTCTCGGGTCCCTTGTTGTTTCAATGAGCCTAGAACCCAGTTCCTTCAAAAAACTGGTAGCACTTTTACCCCAGGCGCCGAGTGTCTCAGAAGCAATGGGGACAAAATTGTAGTGGTGATCCAGTTCTCTATACTTACGGGATTTGGCTGCTTCCCTGTGGGTGGCAGCGCCACCTGGTTGTGCAACACTGAGGTTAATGTAGGTGTTAGCCAGGGTTGATACGCACGTGTAGTCCCATACCAACTGCTTGCCATTCTTCCAGGGGTTCACTGTGATACCATCCGGGCGACCAATAAGAGCATCAGAGTTACGGGGCGTTAGGTAACGGGGCTCTCTTTCAGCTGGGCATCCAGCTGTGGTGAGGCTCCTCTTGATGATGTCGTTAACTTCACTGTGCCTCGAGTGCCATCCCCCTGTGCTTTGGCAGAGTAGGCCATGGTGGCCGTACCTGTCAGCCACCACCTCGCCGCAAATACACCTATATCTGGTGTGGATTGGGGCAGCAAGGCGGAGGGCCACAGCAATTCGGAGGGCGTGTGGTGTGAGACGCGTGCCAGTTGCCGACATTGGGGTTGCTAACAGGAAATCCCCTGCATGTGGTGCTGCTACTGCTGTGAGGCGAGCAATGTCGTGTTGTGTTGTTGCAGCACCCAGGCACTCTGCAGCAACTTGGTCTACAATGGGACCATCCCAGCTGGATTGCTTGTGGGCTTTTGGGGATGGTGGTTGAGGTGATTGGCCTGCACGAGAGGCCCACTCTGTGGCACAGCGTGTAAAATTGGGATCATGTACACCTGCCAGCTGATGTAAGTGGGCAGGTAGAATTTCCTTCACAAGGTCGTCGGATGCTGATAAGGAGGACAGGAAGGCTGGAACAGCGATTTGCGTTGCTGTTCGAACTCCGAGGCCCCCAAGTCTTACGGGAAGAGAGGCTTGTTTCCACTGTAGGTCATCGAGAGAGAGGTTAAGGGCTTTTTCTAGCATTGATTTCAGTAACCGGTCATACTCACTTAGTTTTTGGCTACTGTAAGATGGTGAACACCTCAGAAAGTAGGTTAACCTGGGGAGGGACAGACATCTGGTGATGAGGTAGAGTGCATCATGAGCATCAATATCCTCAATCCTCCCATCCATCCTCTTAAGGTCGGCGATTTTCTTATCAAGGACCTCATCGATGGCTTTCAACCCCAGGGGAGCTCCTAGGAGTGTGCTGTCTTCAGGTTTAGTTTTATGGATATTTGGCAGAAGACCCTCTATTCTCTCTACGATGCCCTGGTTGGAACATATTATTTCACATTTAGAAGGGTTCAGGGTGAGGCCTAAAACTGCACCTTGCTCCTGGATTTTTCTGATGTCCTCCAGGAGGGAGTCTTGGGAACCAGCTAGGGTACCATCATCCAAGAACCAGATGTTAAGCTCGCTGGACAGGACCTCTGTGACTTGTTTGATGACTAAGCAGAAAAGGAGAGGAGCGAGGGGGTCACCCTGTTGGACGCCTTCTCGCGAGTCAATTTCATGTTCGCCAAAAAGTAGCTTAAGATCCATACTGTAGCATGAATGTACAAAAGGGTAGAGGGAAGGGAAATGACTATGAACCGCACGGAGTACAGCATCCCTCCGCACCAAATTGAAGGCATTTTTGAAATCTAGCTTGATAAGGGCCTTTTCGTCTGTGATGTTGGCGATGAAGGCTCGAGCTGCATGGGCTGCCGCCTCACACCCTTGTGGAATGCCAAACCCGAGCTGTTTTGGCTTCAGCATGTTGGCCGCTGCATCACTAACTGTTCTTGCAGCTGCCTTTGCGACGAGACGCCGGAGAGAATTGCCCACAGCTATTGGCCTGATCCCTCCATCCTTTTTCTTTAGAGCACAGAGAGATGCTCCAAAAAAGATAGGTCTTATGGACGCTGGTATGTTGCCAGCTAGACATGTGTTGGTGAATCTGGTTAGTTCCACCAAGAGGTTCTTTGCAATGTCACCCAGTGCAGGGTTGAGCATTTGCTTGAGGTGGTTGGGTTTTAGTCCTGTGAACCCACCTGCTGATCCTGTAGGGAAGGACATGGCTGCTTTATGGACCACAGATTCAGCCACCCAGAGAGGTTCTGCTCCGGTAGCCCCCACTTGTACAATGTCGTCTATATATGTATATATATACGTCTGTATATGTATATATATATATATATATATATATATATATATATATATATATATATATATATATATATATATATATATATATATATATATATATATATATATTGACATTATTATTCATTAATTTTGTATGTATAGTTAGGCGAAGATTAATTTAATTGTTTAAGTTCTGTTGGCGATTATTTGTATTTGTTGTACGTGTTGTTGTTTTTGATTTCGGGGCGACGACGATCGTGGGATCGGATGCGCCCCGGCGTGCGTATCCGTAATGGATTAATCGCGAAGCCCGGAAAGGTGAAGCGCCAAGCCTAATCGCAAAACTAGTGACGCCAATCACTGGAAACTATTATGCCATGCGGCAAACAAACGCAGACAGGCAGATGATTGGGGAGCCCCAGGAGTTCCTCAGGGTGACAAGCACCAGCCCCGTCCCACACAGAGAACACTGGGTAGCAAAACCAAAACTCGGCCCCCAACTAAAACGCAAAAGCCATCCAGTGCCCTCCGGCAGAGCAGAAGCCAGCCGCCCACCACGACTGAGGGCACACCAGGAGCCGACTAAGACCCACCAACCCCAGGCGCCTCTCGGCCAAGCAGGCCCCCAAACACCTCACCCCGCCGGGAGAACCAGCCAGAACACGTCAAAAAAAATCTATAAAAAATCCCGTGATCCAAGGCGATATGTGCGCCAGGCGTCGTACAACCGGACCGTTGAATAGGGATGCCAAACGGCAGTAGCAAAGCCAAAATGCGAAAACATGACGTGAACCGGCGGCTCCCAGACGGAGGTGTCCAGACGTCCGCTCGTCGTCAAGGTTGAAACAGGAGTCGTTGCATTACTTATACAATCACATCTGTATCTTTGTTTACAGAGCTTCTACTTGAGTGTCCTTGATACTTATGTATAGGTGCAGAGTAACAGCACACTGTGAAATGTGTCCACGGTTGGGGATCCACAAATGGATTTATTATAACTACGAGAGATAGGAGGGAGGAACGCTTCCCAGCGTCACACTGCGTATCCTCCCTCACCCTCTGGCGCTGTGATGCGCCTCTTATATACCAGTGTATATACATATGGAGCAATAGTAATGCACCTTATATACCAGTGTATATACATATAATGAAATAGTAATGCATTAGTTAATTAATATTGCAGTCATATACACAGTCACAATGAATTATTACACCATTGTAGATTTAATGAGGGAAAAAAGAGAGAATGTCTTTTAAATGCACCTTTCTTATGGAGAATACTTATCAACTGCATAACATGCACAGCAATCATGTTAAAGTAATCATTAAACAAACACTCGAGAAAACTCAGCAGTTTTATGTTTAATATAAATATAAAACTATTCATGGCATTGCCTGCAGCTCACTGTATGTTACTTTGACGTAGCTACGAGACGAGAGTGGGGGCGGAAAGAGCGTGGGGCCGAGAGGACGGAGGGAGGTTCAGCGGGATGATGGGTCAGCTGCAGCGGGAAGACGCCGACTTCTGCACCATGGCGTCCATGACCACACAGCGCCTCACCGTCATGCAGCTCGCCAGAGCCTATGAGTCCGATATTCTGACTTTAATATCCCTCAAGCCCGCGCTGCTTCCCGAATACCTGTCCTTCGTACGACCATTTACAGGTTGGTAGGTTCTCAAGATGATCCATTTGCAGGTTGGTGGGTTCACGAGATGATCCATTTACAGGTTGGTGGGTTCTCAAGATGATCCATTTACAGGTTGGTGGGTTCTCAAGATGATCCATTTACAGGTTGGTGGGTTCTCAAGATGATCCATTTACAGGTTGGTGGGTTCTCAAGATGTTTCATTTACAGGTTGCTGGGTTCTCAAGATGATCCATTTACAGGTTGTTGGGTTCTCAATATCTTTACCGAATCTGACGGAAATGTACCAGCATGTAGTACATTAGTAAGGTACTAGGATGTAATCCTCAGGGATTTACTAGTTTTAGTACCTCAATAAGGTACTAGTTGTAGTACCTCAGTTAGGTACTAGCATTTAGTACCTCAGTAAGGTACTAGCATTTTAGTACCTCAGTAAGGTGCTGATGTGTTATTCCTGTTGATTTATTCTTCCTCAGAGAACATTCACCTTGAGATTTACCTCTCACTGAGTTATTAAGGCCTACCAACCACGGAAGAGTTATTAAGGCCTACCAACCACGGAAGAGTTATTAAGGCCTACCAACCACGGAAGAGTTATTTAGGCCTACCAACCATGGAAGGGTTACTAAGGCCTACCATCCACGAGAGGGTTATTAAGGCCTACCAACCACGGAAGGGTTACTAAGGCCTACCAACCACGGAAGGGTTATTAAGGCAGCCACGATAACTTACTGAACTGCCAGGATATATACTTTTGTTGTAAACATAGCTCAGGATTAAAGTAACCTTCTGTATATTCACCGATAGGTTGGAAAATCTATCAAAGTTCATATTCTTCAAGCATTTCAGCATACTTAAATATATACAATTTACATTGAGATATTAAGGAGTCTGGCAACCGATAAATTATTTATGTTAAGTTTTACTCTGCTCTCTCTATCACATTAATCGGTATACACAGAGGTCCAGTTGATTGACAGTTGAGAGGCGGGACCAAAGAGACAAAGCTCAACCCCCGCAAGCACAATTAGGTGAGTACAATTAAGTGGCTAGAGGTATACATAAGTGGCTAGAGGATACATGACTCAGAGGTATACATAGAGGTATTTACAGTATACATCCATATGTAGATGTAACGAGAGTTTACTTTGATACTGAACGGCATTGGGAAATTCGAGGATAGTCAACACCAAGTCGTGGTACAGATGACTAGACCGCACCGGAGATCACCCTGTACATAGGCTCAAACCCTCAATCAAGGGCCTTTCGGATTTGTTCATTTCATATTTCACGTTATTGGAATTTCTGTGTGTAATAAATATTTTATTGCTAATCGATATTTCTCCTGCAGGAGAGCTGTGGGCGACGCTGATGGTGAGCGTGATGGTGTGGAGCACCATACTGTGGCTGCTGCGGAGGGCGTGGCAGTGGGTGGCTGGAGGGCGTGTGGACACCTTCACCGACTCCTTCATGTACGGATGGGGCGCCCTTCTGGGCCAGTCGCCTCCCAGGATCTCATTCACCAATTCAGGAAAGGTAAGACGACTGGATTGGTTTTGTGGCAGGCTTAAGAGCCATTAACCTCTGGAAGGTAATTAGACCCCCTCAATAGTCTTCTGGCTGAGTATACTTTAGTCATGAACATATTCCAAAACTAGAGTAATCTTTCGGAGCATAGTTCTCATGAGACCAGTAACGAAGCAGTGTTTTATCAGTTTTATCACGTACACGCTCATCACGTACACACTCATCATGTTCACACTCATCACATTCATAGCTCCTTTTCAAGTTTACAAAACTAAATGTAATTTGGCATTGATGGATTATACTATGCTAGGCTAGGTTGGATTAGATAAAGGTGGATTTGGTTAAGTTAGGTAAGACTAAATACATTATAAATACATTAGTGAACCTACTTACATGCGGAATCACACGTATCCTGCAAGAATATGCGTGTTCCATGCAGAGAGAACCATGATATCACTACAAATACTTGCACAGGTGCTGGTGGGAGGCTGGTTGGTGTTTTGTCTGGTCATTACAACAGGCTACAGCTCCTCCTTGGTGGCACACCTCACCATCCAGAGCAAGACTCACCCCTTAGACACTTTTGAAGACATGGTTACACGACCTGGCTGGAAATGGGGCATCGAGACATGGATACTCAAAGGCGTGCCCTATGATTACTTGTCCAAACACACAAGCCCCGTCGTGAAGAAAGTCTACAAGGAAATGGAGGTTAGTATGCTTGTTGATTGCACATAATTTAATAGTAATATAAAAACAAATGTTACAATTTTGGAACATAATTCACGCTGCTTCATCTCTCATACAGTAAGGAAGAGGTTCAGGGCAGTATTCTAGGCAGCACATCGAAGGAGTGTAAAAGGAAACGTGGAAGTACGGAGCCTAAACAAACAGATTTGAGCAACTGTTGTTATATTATTCATATCCGTTATCGCTATCACCTGGTATAACAACACCAGGAACAAAAATTATTTATTATATTACTATTACAACATTAACTACTACTGCAACTACTTCTATCGTTGCTACTAGTTCTTCTTCTTCATGTGCCTCTAATAGTATTATTACAACTGCTGCTAATACTTCTACTACTTTACATGTTTGATTATATAAAGATAAGTTATCTATACAATTTTCATTTTCAATCAATAGATTTGTCGTTGCAACACATGGTATCATCGATTTACTGTAAATGGCTTGATTACCTTAAGGAAGAAATTCTGTGATTATATTCAAAACCAATAATGATATTTTGTATCAGTTTGCTGGATTTGTATACACCAATATAAACCCACATGACCCAGCAGTCCGCAACGCAGAGTTTAGATATAGACAAGATCTCATACGGCATCAACTCAACACGAAGAAGGAAGCCCACCAAACCCTTTCAGAGCAACCTGAACATCAGTTAATTAAAAGGATCCAGTACGACATCCCCCAACCAACTCAAGTAAACAATCAACAGTGAACTATCAAGCCTACAAAAACAAAAACAAAATTATGTCGAAACGAGGATGCTCCGAAAGCTGACAGCCCTCAACGGTGGACAGTTAAAGATCCCTCGTCCAAAAGATAGCTACATAAACCTAACTTCTCATGATCTTAACCAGGACCAACGAAACCTCTTGAATCTTGGCCTAAACTGTCAATTTATATCATGACCTAAGAAGCATCAAAAACGCCTTGAAATCGAAATGCATCTGGATGACATCTACAAGTTAGAAGAAAACAAAACATCATCACTACTGACACACTTCAGGCTGAACTACAAACAGAAGCGGGGAAAAAACGAAGAACATACTCATCTACAATCTTAACCCCACGACTCAAAGAAGCAGCAAAACAACTAAAAAATCTGAAAGACGTAACAATAAGAAAAGCCGACAAGACAGCAGCATATGTATTGATTCCTACCCAAGAATACATGAACAAAATTAGCGACATTCTTAGTGATGACACCAAATTTCAACGAATCACGAGGAACCCTGTGGAAGACCTTAAACGCAAAGTGAACAAAACTATTAATGCAATCAACGCAAAGAAAGGTAGTGTTCATTTCACTAAACTCCAAGGCGACTATGGCTTAGGATATGCCTATGGCAATGTTAAGACATACAAACCAGGTAACCCACTACGCCCAAATACCAACCCCAACCTATCACCTGGCAAAAAGACTTAACGAACTCCTAATTCCATACACTCCAAGCAACTATAGTCTACAATCATCAGCAGATTTTCTAGAATTAATCAAAACTGCACAGCCCGATGGAATCATTACTTCCCTGGACGTCGAATCCCTATTTACCAACGTCCCAGTCGACACCACCATAGAAATGATACTGGACAGAGTATACAGAGACGAGAGCACCCCCAAATTAGACATACCCCATACCTGGGTAGGGTATGGGGTATGATATATATATATATATATATATATATATATATATATATATATATATATATATATATATATATATATATATATATATATATATATATATATATATATATATATATATATATATATATATATATATGTGCGTGTGTGTGTGTGTGTGTGTGTGTGGTATTTGTAATGCGGCGGTGGAGCTCCTACTATGATTTCCTCGTCTGAGGAGCCCGTAACCTCCGTAGTGGGCGTTTTTGTCATTCGCCACGCAGCCTTAAGTAGGCTTAGGTGTCGTTGATTGGTGGTTGTAGCTATTGCAGGAGCGCTGGTGGTGCTGTTATCGTTTGTAGACAGCACGTCTGCTAGCGCGGCTGCTGAGATAGTGATGGTAGGAGTGTTGGGAGCTGGAGAAGAAATTAGCTCTGTTTGTGTCGCCCGGGTCATGGGCGGTTCTGGAGTCGGTGTTGAAGTTGACCGCATGGTGGTCCTGGTGATAGTCTTCGGAGTGGTAGAGGAGGCAGTGAAATTTACGCCAGTGGCTAAATGGGGGCCAGGCCATTGTCTATGTATAATGCGTTTAGGTCACTGTCAAAGCGCTGGTTGTCTGGTCCTGCAAGCCTTTCCGCTAGTCTAATAAGACCAGGGATAATGCCTGCAAGCCTTTCCGCTAGTCTAATAAGACCAGGGATAATGCCTGCATGTGATGCAGGGGGCTGTGAAGGAGCCTGTGGGACCTTGGGTCCCCAATGAGAAGGCTGTGTCGCCTGCTGGGAGGAGCCACATGTTGGTAAGACCGGAAAGTCTTCTGGTCGACTAGTGACAGCTAAGGTGGTGGGTTGAACTCTTGGGGCTCTGGTCGAGGAGGTAGAAGGGTTGTTTCTCTTGGCTTCAACCTGGGCCTTGATGCTTTCCTGTCTGCGGGGGCAGCGGTAGGAAATTGCGGGGTGATTGCCATCACAGAGCAAGCAGCGATGGACTGTTGCCTTGCATATGGAGTAGTGATGGTCCAGTGCGCACAGACTGCACTTCTGGACAGGTGCTGACACTTGTTGGTCGGGTGGGAGAGCTCGTAGCACTTAAAGCACTGCTAGATCTCATGGTATCGTTCCTATTTTATTTGGTGGGGTGGTATTTTTAGGCCGAAGCAGTAGGATCCTTGTGTGGCAGCCTGGGTGGCCGCAGCTATGGTGGTGAACGTAATCTTCATTGATGTTTTGTTGGTGTTGCAGAACTCTAGGTTGAATACCGTCAGGTTTGGATTTTCGTCCTCGATATTGTCCATGATATGATGTTGAGGTCGCTCAGCGATCCACTGGCTGGTCCTGCTGGTAAAAACAGTTCTTGTGGCCTGGAACTGACGTGGGAAGTGAGGATGTAGGTGGTGCTCCTTGCGAAGAATGGCATCGTTAGTGAGGAGTTTTTCTAGCTCCTCTTCACATGAAAAGAAGATCACGATATCTTCACCTTCCTGACGAATGTCAGCGGGTTCGAGGTCAGTAACGTCCTTCAGGACCTTTAAAGTATTGCTTCTCCCGATAGCATCACCGTCAAGTGGAGTAGCTCTGACCTTAAGACGTTTGGGTCGCATTGTGAACACACTGCTCCTTGTGATGTGTTGGCATGCTAACATTGAACAGCTTGTCTTATATACTCGCATTTGGGTGAGGTGATATGTTGTAACAGTTTTGGATGAGGTGAACAAACTTTTGAACAACACAAGACAGAACACGGTGCAATGGGTATAAATTAGATAAGTAAGAGGGAAGATTGGAAGTAACTGCAAAGGGCCTATTGGCCCATATTTCCTCTTGATGCTTCTATATTGGTACAGAGTCATAATGTGGGTAGAATATAGTTACGCAGTAATTGGCTGTTGATTGCTGGTGATAACTTTTTGATATGTAGTGCCTCGCAGATGTCAAGCCGCCTGCTATCGCTGTATATATCGATAGCAGGCGGCTTGATAATATAATGCCTAATAATATATATATATATATATATATATATATATATATATATATATATATATATATATATATATATATATATATATATATATATATATATATATATATATATATATATATGTCGTACCTAGTAGCCAGAACTCACTTTTCAGCCTACAATGCAAGGCCCGATTTGCCTAATAAGCCAAGTTTTCATGAAATAATATATTTTCTCTAATTTTTTTCTTATGAAATGATAAAGCAACCCATTTCATTATGTAAGAGGTGAATTTTTTTTTATTGGAGTTAAAATTAACGTAGATATATGACCGAACCTAACCAACCCTACCTAACCTAACCTAACCTATCTTTATAGGTTAGGTTAGGTAGCCGAAAAAGTTAGGTTAGGTTAGGTTAGGTAGGTTAGGTAGTCGAAAAGCAATTAATTCATGAAAACTTGGCTTATTAGGCAAATCGGGCCTTGCATAGTAGGCTCAGAAGTGAGTTCTGGCTACTAGGTACGACATATATATATATATATATATACACACATACATATGTATATATGTCGTACCTAGTAGCCAGAACGCACTTCTCAGCCTACTATGCAAGGCCCGATTAGCCTAATAAGCCAAGTTTTCCTGAATTAATATATTTTCTCTAATTTTTTTCTTATGAAATGATAAAGCTACCCATTTCATTATGTATGAGGTCAATTTTTTTTATTAGAGTTAAAATTAACGTAGATATATGACCGAACCTAAGCAACCCTACCTAACCTAACCTATCTTTATATTTTAGGTTAGGTTAGGTAGCCGAAAAAGTTAGGTTAGGTAGTCGAAAAAACAATAATTCATGAAAATTTGGCTTATTAGGCAAATCGGGCCTTGCATAGTAGGCTGAGAAGTGCGTTCTGGCTACTAGGTACGACATATATATATATATATATATATATATATATATATATATATATATATATATATATATATATATATATATATATATATATATATATATATATATATATATATATATATATATATATATATATATATATATATATATATATATATATATATATACTAAATATGACCGAAAAAGTAAGATTAATAATTCTAACACGAATTTTCTCAATCTTTCGTACATTTCTTTTCACTGTTGGAGGAAATTCAAAAATCAATTCTCCAAAATTCATTTTTATTTCTAGTCTGACGCGACACTTGAGCGCGTTTCGTAAAACTTATTACATTTTCAAAGACTTTACACATACACAACTGAATAGAACTTACATATCTCCGATTTGTTTATATCTACATTTGAGTGAGGTGGATGGGGTGAGGTGGTATTTAATAGGGTATTAATTTCATCAACACAAG